AAATGGTAGCCTTCCCACTGTGCCGCGGTCGCGGCGTTTTACCTGCTGCGGTCCCTTTGTTGGTCATCGCCGGAGGGTCGGCGAACCCACCCCCTTCCACGGCGGGCGGCGGTGCGGCGTCGAAAGTGCTCTGCTGCCTGACGGAAGCGCGTCGCCGTCGCGACGTGGAAAGGCGGCCTTACTGTATGTATATGTGTGTATGTATATGTATGTATATGTGTGTATATATATATATATATATATATATATATATATATATATATATATATATATATTACACACACACCTTGAGTGAAAGTTTCCCAAGTCAAAAAACTTACGAAATTTAAATCTTCATACTGTTTACAATACTTATTAAAAATTCAATAATAAAAAATTATTAATACGCAATGCGGTATCACTGGGAACGCATTAGTGAACATATATCTAATAATGTAATTGGAGTTCATTCCAATCACATGTAAAAAAGTGTGCATTGTTCGTCTTTCGAAAATAATATCGTAACGTGAAAATCAAAATTGTTTTAAAAATACAAACATTAATTTCATTGTGTTAGAGTGGAAACAATACATAAATTACATGTAAATAATATATTGTATTGATGTGTTTCCCTCGAGTGATAACACAATCGACAACTGCTGGTGTTTCTTGCTTTGCAAACATTAAGATTTAAAAATATTTGTTTTAAGAATATCTCGTTCCTGATTCTTGCGTAAAATTCCTCAAAGACCAGGTATCACAAATGAATTTTAAAAGTCGCTGTAAAGAACACCACATAAAATGCAATAACCTTTACGTTGTACTGACGTGAAATTATGAATTGCGTTCCCTAAAACAAAAGAGCAGAAATCATTTATTTGAACTGCACTTGCCAATAAAGTCTGTAGTAGAAAACTTTCACTGTGACTAAATTAACTTTAAATACTCTTATATGGTTTTGTATTATACATATCAAAGCTATTTTTATTACAATCATTTCATTTTCTGTGACCATATGGTAATTTTGTATTCGGTCATCTGAGAAAAGGTATAACGTATTTCGCAACACAGCAATTATCTCGGGTTCGTGAGCAACTGGCTCTAAAACATCTTTAAAAAGTTTTTTTTTAATAATTAATTAGATGGGTCACTGTAGCAAATTATAGTAATATATAATATACGATGCAAATAATCTAAGATGAAATGTAAATTTGGCGTCTCGGCTCAGGACATCGCGTATTTTATCTGCTATCGGCTGTACATTTGTTTCAAAATTTTAGTAAGTAGTTTTCGTGCAATATTGCGTGCAACACGTGCTAATTCAAAAAAAAAAAATTATTTTTTTTCTCAAAAAGACTTTTTATTACTTTTGATATTGATAGTCCTACATGTCGCTAATATATACATTAGTGGCGATTTGTTCAGATTATTGTATCTATGGGTACAAGTGCTTTAAATAATGTCATTTAAGTTTCTCTAAAACTCGACCATTTTCTGCGATCATTTTGGGGCTTTTTTAAGAATTAATAATAATATTCTGCATCCCATAAAGAGCTAAAGCCTCCTGCTTTAGTAGGGTTACAGTTGGTTAATATTTGTAAAATCACTCAAATAAGTCATAAAAACAACAAAGTGAAACAAAAAGCTGTGAGAAACTATTGTAAAACAACCTATGACAACAAATATATGAATAAACAAAATTAGAGCTATAAGGAACTACATAGCCTTATGTAAATAAATGAGCAAAACTAGTAGCAACTAAAAACACTAGTTGCATTGGGGAACACCATATGCTTTAAAATTGTTGTTCGTTAGTAACTTTAAGAAAATATAAGAGCGAAACAAAATAGTAGGTACAAGAAATACTAATTGTGCTGGAGAGCATTATCTTTTTGTTGTTCGTATCCCAGTTGTCTCCTCTTGGGCCAATTTCGTCCAGGTGGGATCAGCTACCTTGCTTAGCTCGTCTGCCCATCCGTCTAAGCGAACTCAAACTGTAATTAAAAGCCAGACTTACCTTCGAAAGTTTATGGAACGGAGAAAAAATTAACACCTTTGTTATGCATTAGCGCTGATTCACAACCACAGAGCTATGATGTAAAAGGAGTTACTAAACTCTTAGTTCAAATCCTTGCTGCTAGAGTATTTGCGACGAATCAACAGATACTAAGAGGGCTCATATTACCACCTTCAACTCCATATATTACGCGGCGGCGGCATCAAACCATCGACATATTTAACTCCCGCTTCGATCTGGCCGAACTCGAGATCGCGCGAATTTGAAACATGTCCTCTTTTTGGGGTGGTAAGGCAAGCAACGTGCTTATTGATTCTTTTCGTTAGATATGAAAATGTATGCATGCGCGGGGATCCCAACATCTATTCACCTGTTCAGGAGCAATTTTGCGATTTTCGAATTTACCGCGCTCAATTTGTTAACCTTGAAGAAAAGCTACAATAGCATTCCCCACCGCGACACGACAGTTACAGATCCTTCTCAATGTTGGGAAATATTGGATGAAACGTAAATTTAATTGTTGAATGTGTTTATACATTAGCTTTAAGTGAGTTTTCAGCTGGACGATGCGCAGTTTTAATTTCATTTATGTAAATATGAGTTTTAACAGAATTATTTTCGTACCTAATGTTTTGTAAGGTGTTTTACAAGCAATGGCAGAAGTGATGATGTTGATAGAACATTTGGTATAATATTACTTAACCATTATAAACAAGAAAATTGTAGCACTACCAGTTTTTTATTACGTTATAGTCATGCCTACTATGGCAACGTAAGTCTGCTGCGGAAAATGGGATGGAAGCTAAGTGTCAAATGACGGACTAGTTACACATACAAAAAACAAACGTGACAACAGACTATTACAAGATATACTTGAGCAAAACTACTAAAGAAACTGGAAGGGGAGGGATGGTGTGGTCTCCAGTGTTTCCACCCAACAAACCGAGAAGAGAGATCATCCACACTTTGTTTCCAGGATGATTTCGTACGAGTCGAAAACTAGAACAGTCGTGCTATTTTTAACAATACACGAAACCTGGAAATTGATAATAGAAATACTTGCACAACCCTATAATGCTGCAAAATTGGACACGGGATCAGTTGTGCAGTTGGTATTCAACCAGGAGAATTTCCCAATGTATCCTCACATTTATGGACATATCAGGTGTGAATGGACCCTCCCTCTTGAAAAGATGCACAGAATATTTCATCGTTATAGTCACACAGATCAAATTCCATCTCTGCTTTTCGAGATTTCTACATTTTTAGGCCGTCATTGAAACGCGGCCACTGCTAAACACGGTCCCAACGAAGTACGCGTTTCTCAAGTGTCTTATGCCAAGTTATAAGTATTTCATGTTTTAACACATTTCCTTTGATGTCAAAAGTTCACGTCACTGTAATAACTAAAGAATTTTTAATTGGGCCATTGAAATAATTTACTATCCTACTCATTGTAATCAGTTTATCTCACGCGTGTTAAATCCAAAAATCGCCGTTGCACGAAATGGAGCAGCTTATGACTAACGCATATATGCCCGTTCGAGTTGCAGTAAAGATGACGAACGCCGCAGTTGCCACCTATTCATTGTGTTACGTAAATTAAAAATGTAACTTGTGAATAAACGTGCAGAAAAATAGGAATTTAGCCATAAAATGTCTGCAGTCGTAATTCAGCATTTCTTGTATTTGACTTGTTTCCCGACAAAATCATATTGACGTAACAGCTACATTTTTTTGCTATTCGCCTTTCATTTTCCAGATATTGGTCACCCTGACAATTAAAATCAATACTGAAATATATTTTCTGGGGCACTTTTTATACAATTAGTATCAAACGGGACATTCCGCAAACATTTTCTCAACCTAATGCATTGGTTAAGTGGAAAGCGTGATCTCACGCATTAAATATTCAGCATATCATTAACTCGAATTTTGGGCTTTTCCATTAGACATTACCGTCATGAAACTTTTAATTAACATCTTTTGCCTTTTGCAAAAAAATCCATCTAGAACATATACCCAAAATCTCATTGCAGTCCACATAAGCAATATTTTGTAAAATATACAACCTAAACCCACTAATTTTGTAACATGACATGGCAATCTACTCATTAAATTTATTGCACTAAGCAATTTCAGATGATATAGATCACCCAAACTGCATGTGTTATAATTACTCAAGTGCAGCCATATTTGTTTGTTTTTTTTACTAAGTAAGCTGGAATGTAGTGCATGGAGTCATTTTAATTACGAATTTTCTAACCTAACCATTAGGCATTTTATTCTGGAATACATTTTAACACTTCCCTCTTAAATGCAAATCAAAACAAACAAAAAACTAATTTTAACCAGTTTCTTGATCTTCCACCGCCACTTATTGAAATCAGTTTCCACACTGTTTCAATTTTAATAATTTCATGCTCCAGCACATACACTTCTATAGAAAAGGTATGCGACCACTACTGCTACTCTGAACCGAATATAGATACATCAGATTCTCTCAGATGCATAAACTTGTTAAATAATGCAAACAAGATGCACTTGTTTAACTGAATAGTTTATCACATTAGACCCTGCATAGCAGAACAGCAAAAAGGTCATTTATTTTCAAATTAGAAACTTCCCCTAATGCTTATCACTCAGAACATACTGTAAACCAACTTTCACTCAAATCTTCCCTGAGTAATCATTAGCACACTATCCCACACTTAAGCAATTGCAGGAAACATGCTGATACTTACCCCAACACTTACCTGCACCTATAGCATCTACTGGCAGTACATTTGCATAAACTTCATGATCATGGCACAAAAATCATTTAATAGCATGTAATAGATCAAATTCAACCTTGAACATCACTTGCAAGACAGCAGATCAAACAAAACTACCTGAGGAAAATACTTTAAATCTATCGCGTTTTCATCCCAGAATTCTGAACTCCACGACTACATGTTTTTCTTACTTACTAATGAAATTCTGGATACTTTTTGATTCTTTAATGTAATACATTCCTGGCACACTGTAAACCAGTTTCTATCCTAAGAATGTTGAACTTCTACATTATCTCCTCAAACAAATGTCTCAGAACCTAGTACAATATACTCTAAATAATTAATATTGCTTGATTCACTCATTCATCCATACACTTCCTCATTCATGCCTCGCATACTAGCACAATATAACAGAATTTAGTATCCCTTGAAACTTATATCAAGATCTAATGTAGCTATTTAAACTTAGAACATCCGTTTGACCCGATACTTTTGCAACACTGACAAGTACAAAGATCTAAAGAGTACTGAAGAACTACTTCTGATATACGAAAATAAAATGTATGAGTGACATTTAAGGCATATTCAGAGGCATAATTATTTGTAATTTATATTATGTGTACATGTATGACCCTGAAGTAAAATGGCCAGGGCAGACCTTTGATATTTTAATCCACACAATCTCAGCTATAAATGAATGAAAAATTCACATTCTTGAGGCTGTCATTTTATTATTTATCATTGTTTAATTATATTAGATACCTAAATAAACTTCAGACAATGCAGTATTCCATGCATGTACAATATCCAATCACTCATGACAAGAAAAACATTAGGGCCTGAACTTTTCAATACTTTCTGTAATAATTCAATCACACAGAATAAGTGCTTCCCTACAAGGCATTAACACACTTCAAAGATCAATTCTCATAAATAGAATGAATTGATTAAAAAAGTTACATTCTTAGGATAGACATCCACCCTGAGGCATATTGCCTTAATGTACTTGTTATCATCAGGTACATGAAATGTGTAAAATGATTCTAAAATATTTTATGAAAATTTGTATAAAATGTTTTAACACTTATCTTATATTGCTATAATACTCACTGTACTTCATTTCCCTTCCCCAAACACAGTAACATATAATACGACTAGGTGGAATCCGATGGGTAACATTCAAGTGAACAATGGAAATACATTCAACATTTTACACAAATATTTAAGCACTACTGTTGTGTAATTCTGATTAGATGGAATGGGGAAGAATATAACAAAGCTCCATTAACAGACCATGGACTCCGCAAAATTTTGTGAATGAAGTACAGCTAATAAAAATACTGACGAATATGACTGGGGCTAGTTAAGTTACGCACACATACTTTACGACCAATAATTACGATCTTTTCCGCATTCATATCAGAGGGACATTCCATATTATTTCCACTCATGCTATATGGTTGCACAATACACGATTCTTTAATTTGATGGAAGCAGTTCGTATTGCCAGAGTGTTGCGAAATTCCACTTCCCGGGTTACAGGCGCGATATTCCCAATCGACTTGGAACTACAAAGCGGAACGTCAAACCAATTTTCCGCCACTAGATTGCACCACAAGCACGGTGCTCGCACTGCGCTCTAGCGATCTTTCTCGAAAGTAGCTCAAGAGAACCCGTCTGACAAGGACTGGGCTCTCCGGCTGGTGACGCGTGCAGCTTTCCACTGCCGACTAGCTTGTCCGCCCTTCCCCCCGTCGTGCCTACTCTGATCTCCGCAAGTACTCAAACGCTATTACCACTCACTTTGGAAGGGAATAAATAAAAACACAAACATATTAAACTAATTCTAGCCAATTTTAGTCACTCCATGAAGTTACAATTTCAACTACAAATTCCCTAGGCGTACAGTGTTTAAACCTTATGATCCCATAAAAAATATGCCAAAAATGAAACTACTGCATGTCATATATCCCTCTGGAATTATTCAAACAACAATTATCAAATGTCTGGAATGAGCAGAGCTTTGTTATTGAAAGGGTCTGATACCTGACCACTTCAGCCACATTTGAAAACATGAAATAACTGATCACACAATTATTCTTAAACACACAATTATTACAAAACTACTAGCGAGATTTAATCTTATACTAAAATTAACTTTTGGCCCAGAAGCAGTATTTCAAAAGACAGTGAAATAACAAAGTCTTCACTTTTATTGCCTGTACCATTTGCTGCCGAATGGAGGATAACAATGTTAAAAGGTGCATTCTTGATAAAGTGGTCAAATCCATGCCATTGCTGAGGTTTTGTGTTCTATTTTTTCTTTCAAAATCTTTGTACAGTAAAATTGGGGTTCTGTTCATTCACAATAAAAAGAAAAGTCATCTAATCTATGTTACAGTGACCAAAACAATACAACCAAAAGGACACTTTTGAAAGAAATAAAAAACAAATTGAACAAAATTCTCGTTATTACAAAATAGTGCTTCTTTCACAACATAAAACACACACACATTCGTCATGAAGGTTGTCAACCAACGCATTTCTTTAATAAATGAAGTACGTTCATTCAATTCAGGCTTGTCTTATCAATACCTTTCTCCCTGCATTACTAATGGGGGGAGTTGTTCACACACATATGAACAAGGTAAATAAAAATTTAACAAATGTTCAGTTTAAATTAAATAGAACATCTTGCATGTATGATTTAGAAAATGTCCCCCCCAATGATTTATGCAATTTCCTATTATAAAACTTGGAGTAAGGAGTGAGGTCATTGGATGTATACATTGCTTTCCTCTCACACTTCCATTACTGCCACACTGAAGAAAATACCTACATTTTAATTTGAAATGCAACATTTCACGTTCATACTGAAAAACAGGTGATGAAGGGTGATATTTTATTTTTTAAAAACAGACCAACCCTTAAAACTGTGACCCTGAAACTTATTCCTGACCAATCTCTCACGCGCAATCCAGTTTTTACCTATGGAAAAACTTGTATTCGACCAAAACAAAAGGAATTTTAAAATCATGATGATTGATCCATCGTCGATAACTCTTCACAGAACCAACTCTCGTGTTTGTCACTCCAGAGATCCAAGTTTTATGAGGAAGGCAGGAACACGCGCACTCTTAATTATAAAGTCTCTGCCATACACTTCATATTATGCATCTTCCTCATCATCTTCGCCTTCCCCTTCCCCGTCCCCTTCATCATCCTCCTCTTCTGAAATAGGAAAAACAGTAGTAACTAAAATTTATCTTGATAACAGTACCCTTTAAAGGCTGGAACAACCCCCTTTAGGTCGAGGCCAACCCATTGACCATGAAGTTGGTATTTACCAGAGAGAAACTAATGACCTGTTCAATCTTCCGCTAGCTGACACCTCCTACTCCTAGCCCCAAACAAAACAAAACAAAAATTGATCTTACCTTCCCCTTCATCAAGGTCATCATCTCCTTCATTCAAATCTTCTTCCTCCTCCTCTTCTTCCCCTTCTACGTCCTCCTCATCTTCAGCATCTTCTTCTTCACCATTTTCTTCTTTCTTCTGCTTCTTAGCATCATCACTCTTCGCCTAACACAGTAAAAAACCATGATCAGACATAACAATTATTCTTATAAACAACCATTTCAGTTAGGAATGGAGAAGCAGGCTTTGTAACATTCTGTGGGAATATTAACACACAAAGTAGCTCTCAAACCCAGTCTTTCAAAGTCTCTCCAGGTAAGAGCAATTAAAAAATCAATTTGTAATATTAATAAACAGACTTTCGAAAAAAAGACCCACTTCTAATATTGCCAGCAGAACTTCCCAATAAATATAACTGCAATAATATCCTACAAGTTGAATTATTCTGTGTCATCGGGAGTTCTCAGGAAGGGGAGCCGATGAACATGTGCAGGCATAATATTAGGTCACTAGTAGAGCGTGGATTAGGAAAATGTCCAGGTTAATATATTTTCATCTTCCGTATCTATACGAGGACTTCAGTTGTCCATCGTTTTCGTCCACGCTTGTTACCAGAAAATCGTAACTCAAAGGGATACTTCAGTGTAAACATGAGAACCAACGCACTCCTCAAACAAGACTAACAATTTTTAATAGTACCACCCAGTCATCTCGAATAATTAATTCGTACACGGAATAAGGTTTGTCTAAGACAAGAAACTGAATCGATGGAGCCGGTGATAAAAATTATGTTTCCCTGAGGTTCACGTCGAAAAGGGCGGGAAGAGGTCGAAAGAGAGGCCATGTGTAACAACGAAAATGCAGAACACCGCCAACATCGATTTTTCTGTAACCTGGCGAGAGGCTAGGTTCTTCGACCCTCTCTCTTCACAAACCATCTTCGTGATTGGTTGCCAGCGGCCAGTTCCCCCATAAGCGTTATCGCTCTCGAACTTGAGATAAATACAATGGTATGAAAAATGAAGGAAAGGAGGGTAATGGAGGCGTTCTCGCAATGCTGGTGTACAGCCCGTACTAGTAAATAGAACAATCAGTTCGGTTCAAATCTGCAGTCAAATTTCACTAAAATAGCATCTCGCTAAATGAAAACATAACACTATTTTGAAAGGGAATAAATTTCACTCCCACCTAATGACAACAAACGAACATGTAAATGTCTCGCAATCAAATTTGCATAAAAAACGTTCACAAATGTATTTACCACGATAAATCCAAATGCCCATGCTGGAATATTTAGTGAACGGTAATTAACATAGCCTCTATTCAGGCTCCCACCTCAATTTACTATTGATTCCCACCTAGCCTCTCGCCCCCACAATGCACGAAAGCGAAAGACCGCCACGTTCAAAAGATGACCTAGCCTCCAACAAGGCCTCCTGAATATGAGGCGTGGGACGCTACACAAACATTTAAACGCCAATACACCGAAAATTCCTGCAACACCTCAATATGATGAAATACCAGCATTCTGAAACGCTTCACCAAACTTCAATATGATTAAAGATACTTTAAAAACTTCGAAGATAGAAATACAACCGCGAGGTTACCCGGCCGGCTTCTTTTCACATGGCTACTATTCAAAATATTTTCTGAAATTACCTTCAAAACACTACAAAACAATCCAAAGTCGAACGAAATAATCCAAACAAAGTGAATAAAAAAGAGTGAAAGAGACATTTACTAACACTTCAAGGAACTTCAAAATGTGCGCGACGCGGACATGGAAGCGTCTCCCCAACTTCACCTTAGAAGCAACAACGACAAAGTTTACACTCACCTCAGCGGGCCTCTTAGTTCCTTTCACTTCAGCTTTGGTTTCACCACTCGCCTTCTCGTTGTTTTCCGTAACTTTGTCCAAAGCTACTTCGGAATTATTCTCCTTCGTACTCATTTTAACTGCCGGTTACGGACGCTACCACACGCAACGCACCTCCAACTGGCTTTGTTCAAAAATGAAGATGGCGCGGGCTTGAAGCTCGATAAACCGGTGATTGGTTGATGACGCAAAGAAACATAGGACGTAAAACTTACAGTAAACAACAATCTAGTTCTAAATAAATAAAATTATAACAAATATGTATCCTAAATAAGAGTTATTTATTTTAAGAATACAAAAATAAAATTCCTAATTTTCTGATACGAGGGGTTGGAGAGTACGCTTACTACTAGCGATATTTGGGTTCGAGATGTCGAAGATACTATATGGTTCGAGTTTGGTACGCTGGTTCTACAAATTCACGACGCCATTTTCGCTCAAATGTAATGAATGAAAATTCTGTATTCCTAAAAACGATAGAAATTCTGTACTTTTTAATCAGAATGAAAGACATAATAGACATAATTTACGGTCTTCCTTCGATATCTTCTTTACACGATTAATTGCTGAGGAATGCACTGTCTTGTAATTGCAATATGGACTATATGCGCGCAAACACTACAAATAGATCGCAATGGTGGTTATCCGCGTTGGAGGAACCACGACAAAATTTTCATTCTTACCATAAGAATGTAATATTTTCTATTGGTATACGTTTAAGACGTCGTACACGTAGAGTTTACATGGTATGTGCACTATTAAATATGTGCCAAATGAAGGCTTGTAAGTTAGCAACATTAATGCTATGTCAAATTGCATTTGTGCTCTAAAAATTAATAGATCATATTGTTTTATAGTTAATATTTTTTACAAATTTTGTATCGTCGTATGCCCTCCAGCAAATATGAGAGAAATTTGAATTTGGAGCCAATGTGCCGTTCATAATCGGCACGCACGGATATTATTTACACGCTTTATCGTGTTTGAATAAAATCTTTGTAATATTGGAATTTATATTTGTGAGCGTTCTCCTTCTCATTAATCTTATAAAGTGTTTATATTTCACGAAGAAATTAACTGTATTGCTTGAGATTTGCGCAAGGTTCTGCTGATGGTAATTACGATTTGTTTTGCAATGGCCGGATTTCGATTACGAACGTTTCTATCTTCTGAAATGATTCAAATTAAGTATTTTTTGTTAAACGAGAAAGAGATATACACGAATGACCCTGCTTTGATTTTATCGCCTTTTGATAGCGGTAAGGAGCAAAATACATTTATTTATAATTTGTCGCAAATAATGAAATGTATGGAATCCGATTGTGAATGCGATGTGGCAAAAATATTAAAGATTTATTCTCGTCGTTCTTTATGCCCGCCCCTTACATTTATTTAGTGATTGTATCTTAAGTGTATAACAATATTTCTTTGTTATTTTCTTCTGCAGAAAATGGGAAACTATTGTGAATGTGAAGATTCTATTGAAAGTTTAAAGGTAATTGTATAACCATGTCCTGTTTCACAAACCCGTTATTATTGCATCAATGTCTATTACATCTACTTCTGAACAGTCTTCTAATCCTATTATTTATTAACCCCTTTAACATGAGGGGTGTAAATACACCCAACCAGTTGTTTATTAACAAGATTATTTCCTTATCTTGTGCTGAAATTACTCAAACTTCATTAATGTCTTTCATTCTTTCAGGGTGAACATAAGTAAATGTGAGACGTATTTCTCACGTATTTCCACTTGTATTGAAAAATTGTTGATGTGGGATGTATCGTACCCTTGTTGATTAAGAATCTAGGTTTTTCACTTCTTAGAATGTTTCCTGGCTTCATTTCCATTGTTGTCTTCATACTATAAGCACCTGACATATCGTCATCATGTGTAGATCTCAACAAATGTCAGATTTGCTTGAGAAGTCGAGATAGGAAAGAGAACAAGAAGGAGAGGGGTAAGCATTGGGTTTTTTTGGCAAGAAAGGACTCCTGCTAAAATGGTGTGAAAAAATGAAGAAGTCCTTTGAAGGAAATGCAAGAAATGCCATAAAGATTTCATTTTTTATTTTAAGTAATTTCTACTTGTGTGATTTGCTTGTACAATTTTTTAGAGTTAAATTTTTTTGTTAAAATATGGTTTAAAAAGTTAAAACAAATTATACAAGCTTATATTTACGAAATATTTGACTGAAAGTACCTTACTGTTGGTTAAAGACCTCTATAACTTAGATATTATGACCACAAACTCATTTGTAAACTTAATTCCTAATTTTTAACTTGAGGTGTAATATCAGTCCCATTAGTTATGTATGTAACAAAAATAAGTTAATTATTAGAGGATTAACCACTTAAATGGTTATCAAAAAGATAAGTTATCACAACTCTAAATTATTTCAAAATACTCTTAATGGAAGAAATTGTGATTATAATATTATTTGGGGGAGTCGATAAATTACTTAGCGCAAATTTGGAGTATTTTGCATACCCCCTCTCCCCTCCCCTGTAATGCATGCCTGAAACCACGCTAAATAATTACGTAACGCTTCAACTCCACCACCCCCGCCCTTCGAATATGCAAGAAGGGGAAATAAATTATAGTACAGTAAAACCAATTTGTATTCATTTCATATGTTTTGCGTATTAAAATTGATGATAAAGTCAGAATTAGTTGGTGATGCTGACTGCACCTAACAATTATATTGAGGGCAAGTTGTGAGTGAAAGAAGGACGCTGGGTGAGAAAATTTTTTATCACAAGCACAGTCATGGATGACCCGTAGGTGAGTCAATTGCACCAATTTAAATGAATTCTAGAATATACAATACATCAGATTTTAATATTTTCTTTGTAATCAGTAATCAAAGAGTGATGAAAATATACTTCAATGTATTGCAACAATTTAAATCTAATAACTTTAATTTATTTATGTTTTTAAAACAAATTAATTAGTTAATGTTTTAGTACAAGTCAAAAAAAAAAATGATTTCAGCAAATGTTGCAAAATTAATTATCAGTGTTACATAACACTAACTACCTGTATTTATCGCAGCGTGTTGCTATCTCACCCCACCCCCCCTCTTTAACATTACAATAATTTATGGATGACACCTTAGCACAGAAAAATGATTTTAAACAAGGGGACAAGATGACTTTGCTTCAAATGTCAGAAAAAAGTTATAGAATATATTCTACTGTTTAATGAAGCCCAGTCTCTCAGGTGAAAGTAAAAACAAGTTACAACGAAATGTCCTTTTTTTTTCTTTGCACTTTAGAACAATGCTGTTCAGTAAAGAAATTGATTTTATGTCATGACCAAAGGAAGTGACCCATTTTTAGAGGTATTTTTGCATTTTTCATAGATTTTGACTAATAAGTCATTTTTTACGTTCTCCCGTCACTTTGAATGCATTTTTTGCTGATTTCATAGATTTAAATATCATTTAATTGTAGTTACTTCAAATAATATTTGCGAGATGCAACAAATGTTCACAGTATTCCTGAGCAAGCTATTCGATTTCTTTGCTCGGAAATTGTAATGTCAGTCACTGAGAGTTTGTAATATAAGATTCCTGCAACACTTATCAGCGCCATTGTCACTTTGGCTAATTTTGGGATGACTAAAGGCAGATTTCCTGGTAAAGAACAGTCCAACCAAACGTTTGCAAGCTGAGTTCGCTTGGAGGAATGGAAGAAGCATAAATTACATCAGTAACGTATATGACAGCTTGAGTTGTTCATCCAAACTGTTTTTTATCACATTATGTAGGTCATTTTTCTTTTCTTTTAAGGCATTTTTAAAATATTTTAAGAGTATTTTATTGATCATTTTTAGCAATGTTTTAGGTCATCAAAAGCCCCTACTTATAACTGTATTTACTGTGTGCCTAATTGTGTGTTATTTGTCATTATTTAAATGTTTTTGGCATTTAATGGTTATGTATCCTTATTTTTGATAAGGTACAAAAGTTTGTGAGCTCTACAGAGACTTAAGTGTTGGCATAGTTTGGAGAGAATTCAAGGAATGCTTGAAGCAAGCTAAAGTTTTTTACATTATCTTCTCAATAGACTACAATGTGATTTAATTGAACTGAAAACTATGCATGTGTATTTGACAACCTTTTTTTTTTCCCCTCAGTTTAAGAATTGCACACTGAACGAATAACTGACTGTTCTTAATAGGATTTAGACAGATTCAGAATGAGCGTATTACTTAGAATGAAGACATAGACCTGGGATATTTGCCAATATAGTTATAGTAATAATTTCTTCAGCTCTAGAATCCCTACACAAAGTTTACTATACATAATTGAATTATGAATAAAGCTATAAACAAACATGGTTGGCAACATTTGGAAACTAGAAATCTTTACTCTCAAGTGTGAAAAAAGGACTCCTTTGTGAAGTGATCTTCATTCTGAATGAACAATTTTTCATGGTAATTTATATTGCATGAAAAATGTCATGAATAAATTAATTCAACAGAATTAGTCACACAAAAATTTGATAATACAACAGAATTAGTCACACACAAAAAAATATGAGAGCTATGAGATAAGAAAATTCATAGAAGAATGAAAATCATGAGGAATTGTTTGAAGCCAAAAGGTGCAGCGCGGGGGGGGCGGGGGAAGAAAAACCTGAGAGCCTGTAGGAAGCATTGAAGAGAACAAATCAACTTAAAATGAGGCTGAGAGAAAATGGTGTTCTAGATCTTGGAAACTATGGCTGTTGAAGACCTGCTAGAAAGATGAAAAATGAGAAAAGTTGTTGTAAATTATATTATTTCTTTTAAGGAGGGACAAGGGGATAGCATTAATTTTTTTTTGTTGGCTTATGCAATTTACTCAAAAGGAAAGACTAGTTGTAATTGTTACTACCTCACTTTCTCCAGTTACCTAGTGTACTTGTTAGTGGTGCTTTGAAGATCCAAATCATCCCAGAGGGCTGTTGACAGTTGTTAATTGTAAATGTATATAAGAATAAAGTTAGGTTTCAATATAAAACAGTTATTAAATTTCATTTAGTACTACTATTTCTGAAGGAATGTCAGCACAAAGAAAGGTAATAATGATTTCTCTAATGTTTTAACTGTTAAAATATTATTTTGAAAACTACTTTTTAAACAAAGGACTAGTAAAAATGTTGCCATAGATGATGCTGACACTTGTGTTCATCGTAAGAAGGCCATTTGGCTGTTGGCCCTTGGTAAGTAAAGATTGCAAATCAGAGATAAATAGACTTTCTGTATCATTCTGGACAAGAAAGAAAAAAAATACCAGGTTCATTTCTACACTCCTTAGATTTTGAAGAATTATAACAAGAATTCAATTTTCAAATTGCAATTCAAATAC